TATAACTAAATATACCAAAAAAATAGACCATAATTTTTTTCTTGTGCTATATTTTTTTCATGTGCTATATTTTGTTACAAAATATACCTTTCCTTTTGGCAATCATTTGCTTATAAATTCAAATGTTGGTTTTCTTTTTAAAAACAAAATATATCTTTTTCTTTTGAAAAAATATATGACCTTTGATATATATATATATATCAAAGGTAATATATATATATATATATATATAATATGTAATTGAAAGTATGTACCAAATTCATATATATATATATCTTTGTAAACACCACAAATCAAAGCATATATTATGGTGTTTATAAATTAAAGAGAAATAATAGAGAAAAATGAATTTATATACTTTCATTTTGTTAATATAGCAAAATATACATTTTCCTTTTTGCAATCATTTTTTTACCACAATAAAATATTTTTTCCTTCTCGGTTGTTTGAATATTATTTTGTGGTAAAAAAAGGAAAAAAAATATTTTTTTGAAAATATTTTTGGTCACCGTGGTCAACGTCGGATTCCGGCAACCGGTACACTGGAATTTGATGGTTATGGTGTTTGCAACATGACTTATGTTAGTTCGGGGATGTCCGTATGTGATAAAATTAATTCGTGTAGCTAACGAGGCATTTTTAAAGTCTGCATGTGTGACGATGTGATGACGTCTCGTTCGTGTAGCTGATAAACATTTTTCCTTTTTTTTTCTTGTATAATAGTTAATTAGACTTCTCGTAGTCACTTTCGGTTATGTTTCTGGTGATGTGGTTCGAGCCCAAGTGGTGAGTCGTGACCACTCTTGCATTTACTTCTACCAAAACGGTGCATGCATGGTCCACGTCCTAATCGTGAGTCGTGACCACTCTTGTATTTGCTTCTACCCAAATGAAATGTTTAAAAATACATATGGTACTAAAATATTGAAAGAAAAAAAAATAATCTTTGTTAGGATTAGCTGAAATATTGAAAAAAAAAAAAAAAGAGTTATTTAGTTTAATACTTGTAGCAACTACGAGTAAATTGAATGAAGACATAAATAAGACCAAATACAGTGAAGTATAAGTCAATGTTCTTCTTTATCATCTAGTCCTCACATTTTCTATCTTCTAGTATTATAATATTGTTTTTTTTTTTTTTTTTTTTTGGCCTTTTTTCGCTTTCTCCTTTTCCACGTGCAAACTTTATTTTATCAGCTTTTCTAAGAAAATAATGCACAGTTGCTTTTCGTGATTCATTTTTCTCAAAATTGAGCTGTACGCAGACAAAAAATTACTTAAAACAATATATAATATTATTGGCTTGAATTAAATGTATTTGGTAGCAGTGGCGGATCCAGAAGTTATTTTTATCTGGGGCACTATTAAATCTGGGCATAAAAACCGAAATACAAAAACCGATCTGAACCGATTTAAAAAATCCGGTTTTAAAACCGAACCAAATATTCATAAAACTCGAATAAATTCTAAATGTTTCTACCAGAATTACGTGAACCAAACCGAATATTATACTTGAAAACCCGAGATAAATTTATATATCTAAAAATATTAGTTATATTTACTTCTAATTTTATAACAAAACTATTAAATTAACAAAAATATCCAAAATAACCTAGATATCCAAAAATCATAATTTATATTTGCCAAAATTATACAATTGTTTGCAAAATTTAATTAAAGTTGAACAATTTTGTAGGCTTTTTTTTTTAAACCGATCAAAATCCGACACGTGCCGAACTGAATAGTTATAAAATTCGATCGGATAATTAACTCTCATACCCGAACTATCCAAATTTAAAAAACTCCGAAACGAAACCTGAAAGTACAAACCTAGACACAACCTTAATGAATGTGATAAATTTCTAGAAATTATTTTTACATAGAGCATAACCTAATAAATTTGAAAATTACAAATCCTAACTACAAGTGACATAAGCTGAGAAAATGAGTGATGTTCAAAAAATAAAATTTTTTTTTGAGAAAATGAGTATGGGGCACGTGCCCCACCTCTAGTATACCTACGTCCGCCCCTGTTTGGTAGATCCATTACCTGCAAAATGACTTATATGTTTTGACAAGAAAGATATAACACCTTGACTTTGAGTGAACAAATTAGTAAATGATATTTACATATAAACATATGAACATTATTACTCATTCTTTTGGTGCCGAATCATATAGAAACACAACAATTTCTAATGAAGTTTCCCATTTATTCCTCACTATAAGGAGAAAGAGTAATGGCTTTTACCTTTCACTGGATTTGGGAAATGTAAGGTACGAACGTTAGAATCAATCCTACGAGCTGTACCAAGTTCAACACCAAGAACACCATCTCGTCACCTGTGTGTGTAGTTGTTCAAAAAGTAATTAAAACCCTTTCTTGCGGATGAAACCTTTGATGATAATCCGCGGTTTTTTAACCACGGATAAAAAATTAGTTAACATGTATAGGGCGTCAAAAATTTGACCTGGAAGGAAAGTAGCGTCTTGTCTCTTTTGCGCCCATGAGAATCTGTAAGGTTAACAAAACATGGAGAAAGATGAATCAGCAATAGCTAAAAACAGTCCAACAATAACAAAGACGAAGCTTGTCTACATCTTGTAGTTGCTAATAGCATTTGCAAGAATGTGAGTGCCTTTAAAATTTCCAGGATTTGAAAATACTTACAAGACCCCTCCACCGGCAGGGCCAAATGATTTGAATACAGACATTGCGGTCATAGAAATGCCATTAGCAGCACCTCTCTGATTCTGAGGCTACAATGTCAAATTGAAGAAAAGTGAGTCTGAGCCCGGGCAGAGGAAGTTACCGATGTAAAAGATAGAGATAACTATATAAAAAAAGAGGTATGCTAGTACACCAGCCGAAGAACCATACCACGGCTTTGTTCAACATGATAAACAGTCCTGTGACAAGTGAGATCTGCATATATCACGGAAACATATTTAAAATCTTGCTTATTGTTAAATGAGGAGATATGATGTATAAAAGCATCAGGGTTATAATAAAAACTCACTGACAAAGCGTTTTTTAAGATGGATGCAAAATTTATCACCAAATGGAGGGTCACCCCAGAAAGCAAAGCTATATAGGGGTAACACGAAAGCAGCGGTATCAGCAATACCTGAACAACAAGATGTAAAGAAATGAACAAGATGGGATTATTGGACAACCCAGTACTACAATGTCAGAGCAGAGAGCGTCATTCGAAATAAAGAAGCCATATCAAGATTTACCGCAGAAAGACGTATAATCGCAAGGAGTCCAACGGACTTCTCCAACGGCGGGTATACCAAAAGTTGAAACACCAGAAGCCCAAGTCCTGAAAGCATGGTAACAAATCATGATAAACATCCAAGGTAGAGATGGATAGACAATACAGCAACAAACTAAATAAACAGAGTTGAAGAACTGTATACAAAAACAATAAGCAAATCTGTACGAACCATGAAAATGTGAACCCTAAAGAGGATAAATAGATAATTTTTACAACGACTTGTTAAGGAGTGAGCTCGCTTTACAGAGAAATTCCAAATAAGCAGACACAGTTTTCTGGACCAACCCACCAGACAATGTAATGTAAATAGAACATCCACCTGATATAGCTAAAACTTCACCAACATCTTGAGATGAGAAGCTCAATCCTCCATAGCGTCGGTCACTGACAGCCCAGAGTGAGAATATCTTGCAAAGTTATGGAAAAGGGCAAATACATAAGCAAAATTTCCTACGCAAGATTTTAAAAGCTATACTGACACTCGGCAGAGCACCCAAAATATCATATCCTCTATCATAGAATCAATC